TTTATCCTGCGCTTGAAGTTGATTGACGCCAATGTTCTTTGAAAATTCTGGATAAAATGTAAAATAATCGCGGTTGCGATCTTCTTCAGAAAATGTCGTGTAGATTTCAAGAAAAAAAAAATGCAAATAGATTACAGTTTTGAATTATCAGTACTATTGTCACAGTTGGGTGGAAATGCTATCAAACATGAAACTTTAGTCGCTTTTTAGTGTGATAACTAATTAGCTACACACTTAGAAAAAATCATGTAAATTTAGGTGCTCTAAGAGTGACATATACGAGCGTAAATTTTGACATAAGATTGAGTCATAACCGACGTGAAATATAGCTCAATCAAACGTACTTTTCGTCGAGCAACGAACTTTTCAGTCTCGGAGCACTTAATATTAAATGAACGTCTCATCTTCTATGTCAAAGATGGATTCCGTTACGTGTAAAATTAGTTATTTCTAAGTGTGTAGATAATAGTCTGAAGCAGTGTTGGCAAAATCATCAATCAAATTATATTTTTCCGCTCTCATACGCTCTCAATATCACGCGTGATATTGGAACAAAATATCATGCTTGATATTGATTTTACGAGCTCTTTTTATATTGCGAGACTATTCACAAACTGCAAAAATCAAGCGGAGAGTTGACTAGACACAAAAATGATTCTGTTGCACATCGTTTTCTTAGGAAGAGAAAGTATAATTTGCTATCTCTTTTTACTGTTCTGCGATGGCAGACACGAAGTGACTGCTGCCAGCCGTTATGGCAGTTTCGGTTGCGTTCGGTGGAAAACAAAAATCATTAAACTCAATCTCACCACAGTTTGTTGAGATTTACAGCTGGTGAGTTTTGTTAGCTTGATATTCCGAGCTGCGATATCACAGCTTGCAAAATCAACCGCAGCTGTATGCTAGTTGATTTTTGTCTACGAAAATCAAGCGTGATCTTAGGCATTGGTGAGATTTGATTTTGTGATATTTTGCCAACACTGGTCTGAAGAGAGTAGGTAGATAGTTCCGCTAGATTACGGCAGTAAGAAAATTGAATAGAAATTGAAAATGAGCAAAGGGCCATTAATGCGACATTACTAGTAAAAAAAGCACACTTCTTTATCTAACTCGTACAATGTACGAAGAGATTTCTTCGTAGAAAACTGAGCGTTTGACTTGCTCATATACTGTCTGCGGCTGTGGAATAATTCTTGCGATGTTTCTAGCCCCACGTTGCCGAAAGCATTTCCAGTCGATGGTGTGTTAAAATGCAATTCTTCTTTACCCAACTACAGGTATACCTCGACATAACGTAACTGTCATTTTTGACTTCCATCGCCAATTTCTCGCAATCGATCATTCAATCATGCAAAAGAATAACACTATTGATAAAAGTGATTTGTATGATTGTATTGACAATTTCGAGATATCGACAATGGAAGCCAAAAGTGACAGCTACGTTATATTGAGATATACCTGTATTGTGTTGCTCCTATGCAATACAGGGGTTTGACATATAGCTGAATACACGTACTCAACATCAAAACAACAAAACATATCATGGTACCGCTGACAACGTTGCAGATGTTCGGTACGCAGCAAACTTAAGTGATATGACAGCCATATCCATCCCCTGATGCAATAGGGTGGTTTTTGCGTGCTGTACCATCATCAGCATTGTTGACGGTTACTCCCGCCTTGAGTTGTTACATTCAAAGTGTTTTTTATGTTACTTCATACGTGAAGTTTCCCATGCTATTTGTATGGTTCGAACTAGCGGGAAACATACCCACCGCCTCTGGAGGAATCTACAAAGTTTTCTCCACAGCTGTTGCCGCTTTGTCGCTTTGGAACAGGACGTTGACTGGTTCACCCTTTACTTCGAGGATTTCGGCCAGTTGATGAACTCCATCACCATTCTGCTCAGCTGAATGCACTAATAAGCTTTACACTTTTCTCGACGGATTCGAGCACTCACTAGGGATAAGTTTGACAACAACCTGAAAATGACAGTTTCAGCCAACTCCCCGGCAAGGTGACAGATAATCTTAGTTTCACGTACCCACTTGCAAATAGTAGATGTCGCCACACAACGTAAACAAAGGGACTGCCCTTCACCGCCGCAATGGTATTTCTCTATGGGAAGGCAACTTTTTGTTTCACCATGTGTGGATGTCAAGCAACAAGCAAGAATGCCATGTGAAAAGAGCGATTTATGATTTTCGTTGTGAAATGAAATAAATCCAAACAAATTGGAACAGATTGCTGGAAGTTTTTCTTATATAATCAAATAGAAATAAAAACACATTGGTTAATTCTATTATATTTTGCTCTTGAATATTATCAGTCTTGAGAATAATGTTTCTGAGCATACTTGTGCGGTGAAGACTTGCAATAAAAAGCCGTATCATTAAAAACAGTTTACTTCCCCATCTTTCTATTGAGGGGTGAAAAAAAATACAAAATTGATTCTTATTCGCGGTGAGTAGCAGGTTTGCTGTGTGAACACTAACATTTCGTATATTCATTCAAACATGAAGAAATAAATAAAATAAATTAAAATAAGCGTCTCTCAACAAAAGATATTCATAATGAGCTTCTAAAACGAATAAATTTCAGTGATTGTCTTTTGTTACACCCGCCCGTTTAATTAACATTGTTCCCCACCAACTTGAAGTTTCAAGAAACAGATAAGGCTATCTGTTTTTATGTTCAGTATTTTATTTACTTTATTTACATATCTGCATTCGCCCTATTCAGATAACACTTCTGAAATTTGTGAGTTTGACAGAACCACCAGCACCAAATTTTCGGAGTACACTGGAAATGTACTGGACTTGTCAAGTTGCCCCCGGGTTGGTTTCAGCTTTGCATGTGATCCAAATCCACGATTGCAGGAACGAAAATCACAATTATTGGTTCGTGGTATCACGAAACCATTATTTTGTTTTGTACTAGCTGAGTGTGCCCGGCCTTGCTCGGGATTCAATTTTAGCTTGAGTGTATGCGCCAATTAAAACAAGAGCATGCTATATTGTACGTAGCCCCCCCCCTCTTATCTAAGGGGCTACCCCCCCCCCCCCCCCCATTTGCTTGATTAGTTGTCGAGTTATGCCAGTGATATGTATGCATGTTCTTGTAATCGGGATAAAAAGTATTCATTATATAGGGTCACGCAAATGACCCGTTTTCAAGCCAACTCCGTCTCTCTTTGTAACGTTTTTTGTATAGACCCTTAAACAAATTGTATGATTCGTCACGGTTTCCTAAAAGCGTGACGTAATTTATGATCGATAAACCGCAAGACCTCTAAAACATCATTTAAGGTGTGGTCGAACAATAATTTTATAGTTGAAGATGCTAATTTCAAATAACAGACTAAAGTGGTAGAGGTAACAATAACTGCAATTTCCAAACCTACGACTGGATGCCTTCCTTCAGATAAACAACTTTAGTGCGGTCAAAATCGATAGAACTGTTTCAAACACATCGTCGGTACATGAGCGAGTCGGCGATCATCTCTTGTTGCCAGTGGTGGCTGGGGGGAATACCCCTCACCATCCCTCTCCAACGGGGGAGTTTTGTAAAGAGAGATGATCAAACCGATTTTTACCTTCCTAAAAAGTTGTCCTGCCACACTGCCGTACTCTAACGGAACTATAAACTCTACACGGGAAAAAAAGAGTTCCCATATTCGTGAACCACAGCCGTGAACCATAGTTCACGGTGTATATTTGAGAAAATTTTGTTCTGGATAGCTGGCCGTGATTTGTAGTTCACGGTCCGTTCCCGTTTTCGGGAACGGATTTTTTTCCGAGTATACTTCATCCCCTCATATATCGTATAAAAATTACCACTTTAGTCTGATGTTTGAAATTATCATCTTCAACTATGTAAATCGTTGACTTCACGCAGAAGTAATACAAAAACATATAGTTAAAAATAATTTTATAATTTGAACCATGTTCAAGACTCTTTGTCTCACTGTTCCTGCCTAGTGGGAAAACATGAGACACAAATTTACCTTTTCATTTCTAATTGTAACAAAATTAGATTACAACCACTCCACCTAAAACTATTTTTAAGAAACCTATACCATTCGACATGAGTCATGCTTGTTCGTAGCTTTCATCGAAAAAAAATTGAACAATTGTTCGACAAAAACTGTCTCACTGTTGACTACTTTCCCCTGCATATTTTTTTGGCAACCACTTCATCAATAATAGGAATAAATCACTTGGTTTCGGAATTGTTTACGCTGAGTATGGGTTTTGGTACTTTATAAGCGATCTGAAACGTGCTAAATCCATCATACGAAACATCAAATCAAATGACGATGCAGCAACCCAGTTTGCAGGATCACCTTAACAACACGTGGGCATGTTCCAGGTGAAATTGGCCAAGTAACCAGAATCGCATTGCCCCAAAGATGTTTGGCTCTTATAATTGGATTAAAATGCTTATTCTATTAATTGTTGTTTAAGTCCTCAGTTTCCCTACAAGATCACCATTGGTCTTCGTGCACGTGGTATCCATTATCTCTCGTTAAGTAATTGGTCTGCAAAGACATTGTTTCACGAATATCAACAATGACATGGGTTTCACCAGAAAGCACTTTAGGCATTACACTGTTTTCGTTCCGAGAATCGGTCAAACTCAGCTATTTCTCAGCGGATGTTGGCATGAACGGGAATAACAGGGTATAACCAAGTTTTTTATTGACAGAGCACAAACTTTTCTTTTCTTTTTCTATTCTCTGACATCCTTTCTTTCAGGCACTGTGACAATGCAGCTTTGTTGTCTGCGATGTTGAAATAAGTCAAACATTCATTGCTTTGACTACTGCAGACATATTAAATTTAATTTCTGTGGTTCCGGGAAGAATACGAAATAAAACCTTATGAAAGTTATTTTTGCTTCTATATCCATTCTTATTAATCACAAAATTTACAAAATTAACCATCTCCACTGTTGACTGTATTTCTTTTCAATAAAAAAAACTTTTCTTCTCTTCACAGGGAGACTTGTCGCAACAGGAGAAACGCGCCGTTTTCCTTACCGTTCACGACCTGGGTTGCAATCGTAAGTAGTTCACATACCTACTTCGTCTTGTCTTGAATATAATCTGAAATTCCTATTGCCAGATGCATCCTTCGAGGACTTTGTGAACAGTGCTTGTATGATTGAGATCAAAGAGCGCTCATGTTTCATTCATGTTGACGTTCCTGGACACGCTGATAATGCTCCCAATCTGTCGGAGAAGTGAGTAGTGTGAAGCTGTTTTTTTATGAATTATGACATCTGATTACGATTTTTCAAATTTCAGCTTCCAATTTCCACCGCTGCAGCTGCTGGGCGAGGAATTGGTCACCGTGCTGGACTTCCTGCACGTCAAGTATGTCATCGGATTGGGAGAAGGTGCAGGTGCAAACGTCCTGGCCCGATTCGGTTTAGCCCATCCGTCGCGCTGTCTTGGCCTAATCCTGATCAACGTCACCGGTTCGCCGGCTTCCGTTATCGAAGCATTCAAGACCAAATTCATCAGCTGGAAGGGAGACGAAATCGGCCAGTCCGCCGAGGACTTCCTTCTGTACCACAAGTTTGGCTATGTAAGTATTCTCTCGAAACCCCTGTCGCTGGAACATACCCCGTGAAAAAACCCAGCCTGAATATATGTCCACGAACCACACACACTCCCCCCGTACCAAAACCAATGATTGGCTTTAATTGGGTAGAAATTTTTCCACTTTCTTCGCTTCACCTTTTCTCTGTTTTCTCTTTATGCACCATATCTGTCGCTGTGTCTTTTCACCTAGACGTTTTGTTCCACATTCTATTGGCAGTAGGGGAAAAAATATATAGGGGAAATGGATGTAATGTCGGCCTAAATGCCCTTAATTTGGGCCCATACATAATTTCAACAATCGTCTAAATTTTCAATAACGACCAAAAATATCCATTAGGACGGTCCCAATGACGCGTTCATCGAGATAAAATTGATAAATAGCAGATTTTTAATGATGGACCCAATCTTAGATCCATAGGCCAACATAAGAGCCATTTCCCCTACATCGTTTTATTCATGAACTGTTTTCGCAGTCGGTTAGGACCGGCTTCAAAAATAGAATCTTAAAAATAATGGCGTATTAGAAAAGCAAACACAAAATTCCCCTTTTTTCAAATCTTTTGCGTTTATTTGCATTTATATAAGCTATCGTTTTCATACTCCCCTCTTGATCACTGCGCTCTAAATAAGTCTTCCGTCACGTCGAACATTGATAAGGTTATTATTACGAATACAGTAGCTGGCGAAATAGTATTGCGATGCAGTCCTTCAAAACACATACTGGTTTTATATTATTTATGTTTTGGGTTTGCTTGGAAGGTGTTACAAAACTATAGTTAAAAAAATGTGAAATTTATAATACTGCAGCTGTCGAAAATGGAATTTTTCAAAACATTACTCTGAAAATACACTCGACCGCCAAAAATATGCAACCACCTTTTTAGCAATATAAGGTTCACATAGATTACAAATTTTATATTTTGCAAAAAAAAAAGGAATATGAGTGAGTTGCATACTTGAGCGGAATATTTCATAGAACCTTGGATCAAACAAACAACTTAAATACTTTTAAGGACTAAGGTCAAGTAATCTTGCTACGGTTAATTTACCGATTTGTTTTCTGTTTAATACCTACCTTCATAAAAGTAGTATCACTATTACATTTATTTAAGTGTAGTTCACAGCGGCGCCGGTGGTGTAGTGGTAAGCGTGATTACCTATCACCCCAGCAGGCCTGGGTTCAATCCCAGTCGGCGCCGCCGGGATGTTCTGAGGCATAACATCTCTGATCACGCCTTCCTTCGGAAGGGAAGTAAAGCCGTTGGTCCCCGTTTAATGAGTTGATTGGTCGATAGGTAGGGTCCAGGTGTAGGAGCTGCCTCTCTGGCGTCGGTGGTAGCATTGGTGTTCAGCACGGAAAACAAGATCGACGGAAAACAAATTAAGGAAAAAAAAGTGTATTTCACCACTGTTCAATGTGTGCTATACGTTGTTATCTAGTGTTTGAAAATTTGAAATGTTGATAATCTTTCCTATCAATTTTAGTGTATTGCTCATTGAATAACTCTCCGTAAAAAAAACAGAACCATAGAGGCACAATGAAATGTATTGTAACCATACAAAAGAATTTATTGTATGTAAAATAAATCATATAGTCTACAACGATAGAATAACCATAGCATGTATTGTTTTCACAATAGAATCTATGGTAAATGGGGAAATCTACATGTATGTTATGTATTTTAACCATAAGAAAAATCACTTTTCCCGAACATAGATGAGCCATTTACCATTAATTGTCTTGTTGTTCTATTGTTGAAAATTCTTAGTAACTGGGACGTATTGTAAATCTATTGTAACAACAATATTTTAAGATTTCTTGTACAATATACGTACAATAAGATCGATTGTTGGCATTAGTTTTTTTTTGGCAATTGTATTTTATTTTATGGTAATTTTATGGTTATTTTTTTTTCCAGTAAGGGTGTGCCACATCAAATTGCATAACGGAAAGAAACGCTGTAGAAAAGTAACCCATTGGGTATTTTCTCTTGAAAATTTGGGTAGAAGTAGTTTAGACTGTATTGTTCACACTGTATTTTTATCGCTGTCAGTTTTTCGAAAGTTGAAAAAAATGGCACCACCCGAAAAGCAACGTCGCGAATTGATTTTGCGAAAGCTCCTGGAAAATGCTAAACTCTCTCATCGGGACATCGGAAAACAACTCGGAATCGTGCAGTCAACGGTGAGTCGTGTAATTTAACGTTACTACGAAACTCTGAGCATCAAACGGAAGGAGAAATGCGGTCAGAATGGATGTTCTATTAGTGAAAGCGTTTAAGCGGAATCCCAACGCTTCGGTCAGGGATGTGGCCAAAAAGTTGAATCTGTCCAAGTCTTTCATTCAGAGAGCCAAGGAACAGGACGGACTGCATACGTACAAAGTGCAGAAGGCTCCAAATCGTGACGAACGGAAAAATACGGTGCGAAAGTCACGGGCCCGGAAACTGTACACCCAGATGCTGACGAAGCCTCATTGTTTCATCATGGATGATGAGACTTACGTCAAGGCGGACTTCCGGCAGCTTCTTCACCACCCAGCACAAGTTTAATGTTCCGGAGGAAGTAAGGAAGCAGAAACTTTCAAAGGTTACCAAGAAAAACATGATTTGGCAAGCGATCTGCTCATGTGGCAAACGGAGTGCGCCGTACGTGACTACCGGGACTGTAAACGGGGAGATCTACCTCAAGGAGTGTCTACAGAAGCGTCTGCTTCCTATGTTTTGAAGTAACACGAGAGCCCTATGATCTTCTGGCCGGATCTAGCTTCCTGACACTATTCAAATATGGTCCTGGAGTGGTACGAAGCCAACGGGATCACTTTCGTACACAAGTACATGAACCCTCCCCTCCCCCCCCCCTCCCAACGCACCGGAACTAAGGCCCATCGAAAAATACTGGGCTATTATGAAGCAGGCACTACGGAAGCATCCCGAGGAGGTCAAATCTGAGGAAGACATGAAGAAAAAGTGAGTTTTCGTACAGAAGAAGCTGCAGCCAGATGTTGCACAGAACCTGATGAGTGAAGTTAAGCGTTTAAGTTTACTGTTCAAAACAGATGTTTTGCATTTCAATGCGATGTGAATTGCTTGTTATGCAAGTTAAACATCGAAAACAGGAGTTGTGACTTCATCCTTATCAATAAGCCTCATATGTGAGAACAGCCGTGGCCCAGTGAGATCGAACGAAGACAACGGCAGCAGCAAGCGGCGCCGGTGGTGTAGTGGTAAGCGTGATTGCCTCTCACCCCAGCAGGCTCCCCCGGGATGTTCGCCACATAAGTGGCGCTTGAGTCTATCTTTTGAACGAAGCATCCTAGCCGGGTGGTTACTTGGGCAAAGTTGTGTTATTTAAAGTGCTGAGAAATGTTTTCCAAGACATCAAAACTCTATAACTCACATTAAGTGCCTACTCGGCGTAAAAATGAACTAATATGAAACTGTCAAAAGATGGCGCCTTTAATACTGAGCAACTGCTGTATAATAATGGAGATCTGAGATTTTTTTATAATTTTACGGGCACTTCAGAAACGCTTCGAGAACTTTGAAACGGCTCCTTAAACTTCAGAGAAACTGCACGAAGCAGCTCTAAGGCTGTGTCCCAATTAATCATATTGTCGAGCAGTTTTGGGACGACCTTCTACCAGCGATTTTACGGAAATGAAACAATCAATTCCAGATTTTTCAAGCATTTTACAAATAAGACCCTATTTTTTCGAGGTTGTAGAAGAAAAGATATTAAAAAATTGTTCCACGTTAAAGTTCGAGTGGTAGGAAACGTCATTTCAAACTGCTCGAATGATGTGATCCATTGCCGAGTTAATTTTTACCCCTGGTTAAAAGTGGCATTTCGAAAGTTATTTTTAATGTTCGAAAATCTCGGTGTTATTGATCTAGCGGTTTTCAAACAGAACTCAGCTACAGTTGTCAAAATTTAACTCCTAGTCTGTCAGAATTAACCACCCTCGGATAGCAGAGTTATTCGGTAACTTTCCATCTGTCACTTTTAACAACGAGTTAAATTTATTTCTCCAATTGGGACACAGCCTAAGAACTTCAGAGATGTTCAGAGAATTTCAAGGAAGTCATGAAAACTTCAGAGATGTCCAGAGAATTTGAGAAAAGAAATTTCAAGAGCCCCAGGGAAGCAAGGGTCTAGAGATCTTCAGAGAAGCTCAGAGATCTTATCTTACTTAATCCTGGGCACCTTCTGTGTTGCAAAGGGCCAACGTGAGTAACTTCCATTATTGTGTGGTTGCTTAGACATCTTCAGGGTAGTCTCAATAATATAAAAAAAATGCTAGGATTTTTGGGGAAGTTTGAACAGTTTCTGTGCAGGTTAGCTTCAATAAAATAAGGACAGCAAATCGTAGTTTCTCATTACTATGGAAAAGTAATGAGGTATTCATTTTCAATACAGTTAAATCATACATACTTACTTTTCTCACAAGAAGCTTCATTCAATTGTGATGTTTCGCAATATTCGAAGCATTCTAGGATCTTTCTAAAGAGAGGGCTTCATCAATCAAAATAGGACTTACATGAATCCTCATTTAACTGTGATGTTCGGTATCATTTGAAAAATTCTGGGATCTCCTCAAATATGCAATTTCTCAGCAATCAAAATAGATCTTCTTAGTAAGAAAAATCAAGTGATGATACTGATATTTGACCATGCATCGAAACCCTGGTCCGAACCTTATTTTGAATCCAATCTCAAAACCGAGCTTCATAACCGTCAACAAGAAGCGCCTCAGGCCAGAGCTCGTTGTAGTGGATCTTACATCCCGTAACGTACCACGAAAAGGTGATCTAACCACGCTGTGGGGTTAAGGTTAGGTTAGAAAACTTGAAATATATTTTGGAAGCAATTCAGAAGACCAGAGATATTCAAGGAAGTGTAAAGTTTTCTAGGACACACATTTATTTCAGGGCAGTTCCAACAACTTCAAGATAATTACGAGAACTTCAGGGTAGCTTCAAA